AATCTTCTAGGATTTTGAAATAATGTGAAAGAAAAACATTGCAGCTACAGTCATAAGAAGAGTTTGTGCTATTATTTTTACAAACACGAGAAGGACAGAGACGCCCCGCATTTGTGTCTCAGGACAGATTTCTACAGCAGAGGACCCGGTTTCACATGTGAAACAGAAAGTCAGAATGAAAACAAATACACGAGAATATACTTTATAAATCTGTCCTGAATGGAAACAAACACAAGAGAATATCTGCACTTCTGCCCCGGGTCACAAGTGTGTGGTGTCTCCAATGTGGCTGTCTACATCTCCAAACCTCCAAATACCCTGTTCCACCTTGTGATGTCATGTGGTGGTATTTTACAAGTTAACAGCTACCCTTCATCTTTTGTTCAGTTGAGATTAGCAATTCCAGGTCTGAAAATATGCAAATGATTCTCATGAAGGTGTGTGGAGTTTTGTATTACCGCGTGAATTTTCAGTTTGAGAGAAGAACTCAGCCTAAATATGAAGGGTTTTTGTGTTAAACATGTGTGAATGAAACAAAAAATAAATAAACAAAACTCCAGGCATGTTTGTGATGATGAAACATTACAACATAGATCAGAAAATAGGGTAACACGGGCCCTTTAATGCGGTGTTGTTTCAACCCCGCGCTAATCAGTATTTATCCGACTTACACCTTACACTTGACAGGGACCCTTTGAGCCGCTCTAACGACCCTCTCAGGAAAACCCCCTTTAGTCCTGTCCCTTCAGCCCTGCCCCTTTAGTCCCGTCCCTTAGCCCGCCGTGCGCTCCTGTGATGGGGTAACTCCGCCGCATTATCGTCTCCATCAGAAGAGCCCTGACCCGCGGCCGCGCACAAACACATGAATCATGAATGAGCCGAATATGGGCACAGCTCTCCCGGCCGCGTCCAATTACCACCTCAATGAGCGCGCACAAAAGCCCCCTCTGAATACTGCTGCAGTCAATAACAATAACACAATAACTGCACACACGTTTACTCACATGTACACGACACTATACAAGCCGTGGAAGAAGTATGTTCAAAGGTGTACCACGTAACTTTGCCTGAAGTGTTACATGGTATGACTTTAAACTGATAACTATTGCATTTCTTTCGTTCACATGTTCATGTCAGGTTTAATAGGAGTTTAATGTCTGATGTTGTGAAATAAGTTTTATTTATTTATTTTATTTATTTATTTATTTATTTAAAAGGGACAATGCATATTCATGAACATATACTTGTAAATACGCCAGAATTAAGGCTACTTTTCCTCTGTAGTCACTGGCAGGTCAGAGAGATAGAGACATAAAACATAAGAACATAAAACGCGTCACAATAGACAAACACACAAGCAGGACGTACAACACTGACATTTACATAGGAGCAGAACATTAGTGATCACAGATCTGGTTTCTCTTAAGCCATCGCTTCAGATTAGTTTTAAATGAACTGAATGTGGTGGAATCTCTTATAGCAGCTGGATGTTGTTCCAGATTTCTGTGCCCTTGACTGATCACACCTGTTGACTGAAAGTTGTGCGTCTATAGGGTTTTGCACAGTCGCCTCTGATAGAGGCTCTTGTTCCCCGACCACTAGTGCTGGACCTGGGCTTAATGAACTCACCCAGAGCTGGTGGAGCGAGTCCATTTAAGACTTTGTAGACTGAGCAGGTGAGTTTAAATTTTTGAAAATTTCCCAAACTTAAGATATTATACTTCTGTAGTATGAGACAGTGATGAAACGATAAAGATTTCCTATCAAATATCTTTAACGCTTTTTTAAAAAGTGATTCTATTATTTTTAAGGTTGTCATGCTTGTTAGTGACCAGTTAGTAATGCTGTATTCAATATGAGAGAGAATCATGCTGTGGAGAAATATTTTAGATGCATTTTCTGGCAATGATGCTCTAATTTGCCTAAAATTGTGAATATTAAAATTAACAATTTTTGATATGTTTTTTACATCTTTTTTAAAAGTTACCAAAATTTGGATACCGTCCAACCCTAACATATACAAGTCAGCTTTGAATTGGAGCCTAATTTCTAATATAAAGGTGCGCTATGTAACTTTTCTTGTGGACAGTCCTGAATCGCTTTGCCTAAAATGTTACGCAGTATGAGTTTAAACATATCAATATTGCGTTTATTTTGTTGCACGTTTACTCATGTATAGGCCACATTGGAAGCTATGGAAGAAGTATGTTCAAAGGTGTATTGTGTAACTTTGCCTAGAATGTTACAGTATGACTTTATACTCATGTATATTGCTTTTATTTTGTTACACATTTACTCAAATGTACACAACACTTTGGAAGATATGCAAGAAGCATGTTTAAAGGTGTATTGTGTAACTTTTTGCTTTGCCTAGAATATAACACCGTATGACTTTAAAATAATGTATATGGCCTTTTTTTTCTTTTTTTGTATTACACATTTACTTACATGTTCAAGTCAGTTTTGATCGGAGTCTAATGCCTGATGTTATGAAGTAAACTTGATAAAAGTGTACTGTGTTATTTTGCCTGAAATGTTACACAGTATGACTTTAAACTAATCTATATTGCGTTTATTTATTTATTATTTTGTTACACGTTTACTCACATGTATACACCACTTTTGAAGATATGAAGTGAGCATATTTAAAGAGGCACTATGTAACTTTTTTGGTGATATGTCCTGAATTTCTTTACCTGAAAAGTTCCACAATATGATTTTAAATAAGTCTAATGTCTGATGCTATGAAGTAAGCATGTTTAAAGGTGCGTTATGTAACTTTTCGGGTTCTGCCACTTGTCTGTTTCCATGGAGACGATATTGGTTTGCCTGGAATATTACATGTGCGTTTATTGTTTTAAAAAAAAAAAATAATAATACAACTTGAAAAACAGTCTCGGTGTCACTACCCGCTTGTCATAAAGTTTAATGCCGTACTGTGGAACATTCCAGACACAGCAATAACTCCATGGAAACGAGCAGGTGGTGTACTCTTAAAAATGACACAGTTAAATCATATATTGACTACGCTACAAACTGTAATGTTGATTGAGTCGCAGCTTTCATTTTTACATTTTGTTTTGTTTATTTGTTTGTTTATCAAAATTTTCATGACAAAAATCCGTGCACCTCTCCCCACTTTTATTAATTTATTTTTTTTACTTTACTGTGTATTTCAATCTTTTACTTCTATCCAAATTTTGAAATAAACAGCAAAATAATCTTGCACCTGTTAAGAAATGTGAAAACCAGTTCAAGTACAAATTTTAATCGCATTTAATTTAATTGTTTAGTCTCGCATTTATAACAAATTTTTCCTTTCTACACCACACCATCATCACAGAAACTTTGATCTGGTCCGGCTGTTCCACTCTCCCTTCCTGTGTCTCTAAAAGCCCTGTTCCCTTCTGAGCTCTGTTCTTTTTATTTCCCGTCATCAGAGGATTTTAGAGGTACTTCCTGTTGCCGTCGAGTTTCAAAGAAAGCGTTAGATAATGGTGCAAACGCCTGGGTTTTTCTGGCGTCTCGTTGCTCTAAATAATAAATCCTGTCTGGGCACGGACAACAGGAACTTTGCACTTTGGGTCTCCCTCAGGACCAACTTTGAACTTTTGCTCAGAGAAAAGGTCTTAAGCAGAACAGAGCTTTAAGCCAGGTTACAAAGCTGTACCTTCGTCGGGCCTGTACACAGGCCTGTAATAGAGCTGCATTTTGTCTCATTTGTACTTGAGATTTTCATTCTTTCTCACACGGTTAAAGACGTGTTATGTAACTTTTCAGGTTGAGAGTTCGCCACCTGATTGTCGCCATGGAGATGCGACTGTTTTGACATTTTTATCACACTGGCCACGTTTACAAGATGTTTTTTAATTCCAAATTAATTGTTTGCCTTCGAGTTTGCATGGATATAATAATTCCGAATTGAGGTTCACTTGGGGAACACGTTAAATCAGCTTTATTTAATTCCGTTCAGTGTCTCGGGGTGGGGAGGGTTCTGATCGGACAGAGACACCAACGTATTTACGTCGACTGGAAGAAAACACACACTTCAGCTGCTACAGGCTTTTCTGTCATCTCGGTTTGTCATTAAGCCACAGACGCGAACACGATCCAAACTTTTTTCGCAGTCATTCCAATCCCACATCCCGCTTGAGCAGTGAATGAAAGTCCGAAGTGAGGTCGTCGGGATCAGAAGGGTGACCCAATGAGCATGCGCTGAACAACTGGAATTATTTTTAAGAAGAAAAATGAATTTGGTTTCAAAATCGGAATTAACCAGAATTTCTTTTTATTCAGAATTAAACTTTTTATTTTATTTTATTTTATTTTTCGGAATTAAAGCTCTCATGTTAATGTGTCAACTTAAAGGCTAGGAGTTGTTAGTACGACCTGTTGACTCTCAAATCAAGCTTTGCACCATAAAAATTGTTTTTCATACTTTATGAAGTAGGAATACACCAATACTGATACCGCTAAAGAATATTGTCACCAATACCGAACAATTAACTGGATGGAATATCGATTCAGTCATATTCTTTAAACCGATTTCCTAGTTGGGGCCTTTATGAGATGGAGTAAGATTTTCTACAGACAGATTTTGTCATAATGTTTTCATAATGTTTGAACTTTTATTCATACAAAGCTGTTCAATAGTTATTTAAAGAATAAAGAACAGTTACATAACAAAAGTTCACTAAGTTTTTAAGGAAATAAGTGTCATTTTCTGTCCCTACACTGGTATCGTTTAATATCGGGTATGAGCACACTGAAAATGTACACCTATATGAATTAAAAAGTTCAGAAAATTTAAGAAATGTGAGGACAACTGCTAACAATTTTAACTTAATGTGAGACTAAACACCCAAACTGTGATCCGTACTTCAAACTCCGATCCTACAGCCAGGTGTTTGTATCAGAAACAGCTCTGCGTGATGTCATGTAGTACTTCAAATAGCAGTGGCCAAAATTCCCCCCAGACTTCCACGTAAATATAAACTCACCCCGAACATTTGCCGCAGGTCGGGGTCCCTGAAGCGAAAGGGGATGTTGGAGACGTGTAACCTTTTGGGCTGCTGCTTCTCTGAGGAGTCTGAGTGCTGGAGCTGCAGAGGCTGGGAGCCCTCTGTCTGTGACACGTCATCTGTCTGGAAGGGAAACAAACAAGACAACACGTTCATAACTGTTTACACTGGGACTAATGATACATGCATTTAAGAACAATAATGAAGGCAGTCAGGCTTGGATGGAAGATGATGGCAAAGTGAGACTTCGAAATATGGATATCTGAAAGGTGAAACTGATTTGAGTTCATGTGATATCACAAAATTTGGCATTTCTGGAATGAGAAGTATCTGAAAACAACCAGAGTAAGTGAGTCTCAAGTCTTTGACTTCAAGTCCGAGTCAAGACCCAAGTCAACTACAGGCAAGTCCAAGTCAAGTCTTGAGTCACTGACCCATAAGTCCAAGTCAAGTCCAAGTCGTCTGCTTTGAGCTTCAAGTCATTTCAAGTTTTTACACCAATTTTTGCAATTTAGTACTTCAGTTTCATCCAGAGTAACAAACAGAAGTGGGAGGGACATGTTCCAGTTTGCTTCTGTAAAAGTAAGTACTGATTTGGTCTCGATGGGCTGTGGTCTCAGTCTTGTCTCGGTCTCGACTCTCAAGCTGTTTTCAGGCCAGTCAGAACGGTGCCAGTGCCTGTCCCCACACCAGTTCCACTGGGAACCAAAGTCCTCACCAGTGAATGACCCACGTTCATACTATTTACGTGAACCCATGACACGTCATCAACAGAGGGTGTGGATTTGCCACCAAATAAAAACAAGGCCATACGAAAACGGATGTCACAGGGAGGAAAATAACAATCATGGATCACATCATTGATACCAACAAGCATTTGTACTTATACAAGTGAGTATTTATGTCAGGTGAACACGGATACATGGAAGACAAACGGTACGTAATAGTTTTTGTAGACTTGAAACTTTTAATTTCATATGTGACAGTGTCAATTGCTCTTTGTTTGTTTATTTTACTGCATGTGACCCGGATGAAGGTGCTGACATCTACTGTGTCATCTCGGTTTGCCTAGAAAAAACAAGTTTTACGGAAACCAACTTTTCAGTTCCCAAACGCTCTGATTTCTGGCGTGAACATGGGAGTCGGTTTAAGATTAGGTGCAGGAACCGGCACAGGCACTGTTCTCTGTCGGCCTGAAAACACCTTCAGAGGTCTTGGTCTTGTCTTGGTCTCAGGACCCTGTGGTCTCGGACAGGTCTTGGTCTCGATTAGTGCTCTCTTGACTACAATACTACATTCTAAAAACCCCAAAAACACCAATTAAAAACTCATGCTGGGAAAGATAGGAGAAAATACCAAATACTACCTAAAATTCTGTAGGTTAAAATAACTGGAAGGTAACTGAAGTTGCGATTTTTGGTACTAAATAATAAAATAAAAAGAAATTCCACTCAGCCAATCCATGAGTCTTAGATTGAGGACAAAAGTGCACTGATCATCTGTTATATTTGAAAGTTGAAACTCATGAAGCCTTCAAAAGTGTGGTGAAGAACAGGCCCCTGGTTTATGGTAAATATTTCTGTAATTACTGGCCATCGAGTTTCAAAGAAAACTGATGTTGTGCCAAAAGTTAAAAGCACTTAACAGGAGATAGTAAAGTCGGTATATGAGCCTGTATCATAAAAACAACATCGGGCTCAGAGGGTTTTACTGGGAAATGTACAGAGAGGATCCAAACAACTCAACAATGAACCCAAGAGCATCACACAATGTCAATAAAATCCTGTGTTTGTAGAGTCTTCATCTATAGGAGCTTTGAAAGAGGCTGAGTTCATTTAGTTTAGTTCACCTGAGCAGAAAACATTTGATTCACAAAAGAAAGAAGTGAGAAAATGTGAAGTGCTGCTATCCTTTTTCAAATAAGTAAGTACGTTTAGGGCTACATATATGCACAAATATTTTGTCGTCGTATAAACAAGGAACTCAAATAGATAAAACCAGGTTTAAATGTCCTGAAATTATGTCCAAAATCAAAATATCAACAGCATTTTCAATTCAAATAAATATGAATTACTGTACGCATATAGTATAGAACAGACATGTCAAACTCAGGCCTGGGAACAAAATTTGTCCCGCGACATAATTATATTTGGCCCGCGAGATCATACTTAGTCCCAGTTTTTAATTTCAGCCGTCTGTGAATTTGAGTTTGACAACCCTGGCACAGAAAATAAGTATGACAACGCCAGTAAAAACAATAAAAATACTACAATTAGCAATAGACAATAAAGCACAAACTCAATTCTCATAAAAGCTGTTTTTATACAAGACTTAAAAGAATTAAGTAAACTTACTGTGCACTGGAAAAAAATATATCTAGTTAAATTAAAATGACTTAACTTAAGAACATTTGACTTTATTTGAGTCGATTCAACTTGACAAGTAAAATGATCTACCAATGTGTGTTTTTCTTAATTCAAGCGTGGATTTAGTTTCTTATTTTAAGTGCAAAAAGTTGTTGTTTTTCTTATTTTAAGTGTAGCAAGATGTATTTTCATATTTTAAGTACAAAACGTCTTATTCCACTGGCAGATAGTTTTTCTTTTTCAGTGAAATTTACTCAAATCATGATCAAACTTTCTTAATTCAAGTCATCTTAACTTGGCTAGATTTTGTTTTTTGCAGTTTGAGGGAAAGGGCATCCCAAAATTTAAAGTCTGGTCGCCATGGCTTTTTGAACGTTTGAACAAAAACAGAAACAGATGCAAAGTTAAAGCTACATTGTGTAACTTTTCTGGTTGCGTCAGTGAGGAGAGAGAGAGGAGACAATAGCCAGTCTATGCGTACGTTTCATCTTCTTCCAAAACCCGTTGAATTCCAGTCTTCTAATCTAAAACAGTGATTCTTTCAGCAGTGACTGACTGAACCCATAACTGCACAGAGACCCACAGCATCAGCTAAAATTTCCAATGCACTCAAATGTGAAGTGTGAATGGCGTAAATAATAAAAGAGTGTCATTTTTCACTCAGGCCTGAAAGCCGTCCACAAACAGACTGTGACTTATGGCCCCGAGCTGAACGCCGCATTACAGGGAGACTTATTCATCTGATGCACTTAGCTCCATGCCAGAGCGCGGGCTACCGACTCTGCCGACTACACTGTAAAACCACATTATCCGCGATGATGTTTCTCAGACTGTGGGGCGCGGGCTGCCTCTGGTGGTACATGAGTTTTGATTTATTTAGAGACAAATGCTGCAAAAAAAGTTAAGATTTCTTATCAAGTAATGTGGTCCACCAATGGAATAAGACTTTTTGTACATAAAATATAAAAATACAGATAAGATAAGAAAAGAAAAACAACAACTCTTTGTATTTTAAGTCATTTTAACTTACCTAGATATGACATTTTATAGAGAATATATTACTGATTTTGTTCTCCTTTCGGTTACTCATTATTTAAAACTATCTTAGGTTTATATCAAGTTGTACACAGAAAGCCAAGTAGTAGTTTACGCCGGACATATCGATATGTTCGATCTTTTCTCTCAGCTCCAGCTCGAACTGTTCGACCAAATCGCAAGGTTTAAAAGTTCACAACTCACTATTCATGTTCTCATACTATATGAACGACTTCAACAGTGTGAAACCCTCACGAGAGGCAAATGGATTTCAGACAAGTTTGATATTCTTGTGACCTATGATTGCCGATCGGAGCTGGGTATTAAACTGTTCTCATTACTCTTTGTTTACTACACAAAGCACGGCACACGACTGAGCCAAAACAGTAACACAAGTGAAAAATTGGCTCAACAAGGGCCAGAAACTGTACAGTGTGGCTGGCTTTGTGTAGTATTTATTTGAGGATCCTAACATTTCTAATGGCGAGCACACAATCTGTGTACCACTGAGATCAAGTCTTTTAAAGTCTCACTCTGGAACCTTCTCCTGGGACATAGGTGGATGTTATGGCATTATTAATCTGATGCACTTGACTTTTTGTACTTAAAATACGAAAACAACACTTTGTATTTTAAGTTATTTTATCTTACCAAGATCTGGCTTTTTGCAGGGAATATATTACTGATTTTGTTCTACTTTTGGTTAATCATTATTTAAAACTATCTTAAGTTTACATCTAGTTGTACACAGAAATCCAAGTATTAGTTTATGCCGGACATATCGATATGTTTGATCTTATCTCTCAACCTCAGCTCAAACTGTTCGACCAAATCGCAGGGTTTAAAAGTTCACAGCTCACAAGTCATGTTCTCACACTATGTGAATGACTTTATCAGTGCAAAATCCTCACTAGAGGCGACTGGATTTCAAACAGGTTTGATATTCTTGCGACCTACGATTGCCAGTCGGTAGCTGGTCGTGAGGTATTAATCGGTTCTTGTTACTCCGTGTTTACTACACGAAGCATAACACACGATTAAGGCAAAACTACTGCTAATCCTAAAAACAGCTGTGAAAAATCGTCTCAAAAAGGGCCAAAAATTGCACAGTGTAGGTCCGACTTTAGGTAGTACTTCTTTGAGGATCTAAACATTTCTAGTGGCAATCATGCAATCTACATACATGCCTCACTCTGGAACCTTCTCCTGGGACATAGGTGGACGTTATGGTATTATTAATCTGATGCACTTTGCTCAATACCAGAGCGTGGGCCACTGACTACACTGTAAAACGACATTATCCATGCCACTATTTCTCAAACTGTGATGCGCAGGGTCGTCTACAGTTTGAGAATTTGTTTTATTTTGAGATAAACATATCACTGATTTTGTTCTTCTTAGGGGCAATCGTTATTTAGAACTACCTTGTCCAGGTTTAGATGTGGTGCTACCAAGACAAATTTCATCTTAGGAAGAAAAGTATGAGAACCGTAACATTTCTGGTGGCAAGCTCTCAGTCTGAAAAAGGATGTTAAAGCCATACTTTGGAACCTTCTCCAGTGATTTTATGTCATGTGAAGCATTCCAGCCAAACAATGAGATTTCCATCGAGGAGCTCAAATTATGAATTTGGTCTGTGGAAAGGCAAGTCCATTTACAAGGAGGCTTTTTAAGTTATGGAAGCTGAGTAAAAACACCCATGACAAATTGCAGTTCTCTTTGGTTCAAACGTTACAAAGTCGGGCTTTAAATTGTTTTCAGAATTTGATATTTTGACTATAAGTTTGATTTTATTGCTTATGAAGAACATTACTTCACTAGTTTGATGACATTTTTGGGGTTAGGGCAGTTTTCTTACCCCAATGAAAAGCAGGATACTCTGGTAAAGAAGTAATGAATTGAAACCATCCATCATATTTAAACTCCACTAAAAACGATTCAAATTATAATTCATAATTCATCATATTTCACGTTCTAACTCTTGTGATTGTAAGTCATGATGGTGAGTTTTGCAGTGTAAGCCTCCCCTCAGCGCAGACATCATTATGCGACCGCCAGCTGACGTTTTCCGAACAAATGATCCGGACGGGAGACACTGATGGATTCTGGGATTGCGGCGGCCATGATGGATCTGCGGACAGGACGGGGCTTGTCTACGCGCATGGACCTGCGTCGTTGTCGTGTGTTTCCCCGGATACTCTTTGGTCATCGGCTCAATCAAACGTCAATGAGCAGCGTGGGGGAGATCTGTCAAACTATTGGCTTTGTGCGTGACGGGCAGTTTGTGGAGACAGGATTGGGTTTGGTTCAACAGTCGATTTAATTTCAGTTTATTTTTGTAGTACAGCAAATCATCATAATAATATGTCAGTTTTAAATAGCGCTTTTTTTGATCTCTCTCTTTCTTTGAAATCATAACCGAAGTTGCGTCACATGACACTTTTTTTTTTTACTTAAAAAGCCATTAAACACCCTCCTGAAGCTTTACTCCGCCTCTAAGTAAAATCTGAAAATTGCCCGGCGGGTTGTGAGGCGAGCTCTGGAGTGATGATTGACAGCCGATCGACAGCCACAACAATCCAACACGGTGCGAAACGGTGTGCTTTGAACTTTGAAACAGAGTGGACATTTGAGCTCAGATCACGCCGTTTCTCTTTTCTCCAGACACGGCGGGACATCGCGGTGCCAGGTCGGGGTCGGGGCTGAGAGGGGCTCCTCATGTACCTCCCGTAGACGCCAGTGGCTGCGCTCCTCACGTAATAACCTGCATCTGACTCATTGGGGGGCGTTAGTCCAACCCGACAAATCAAACATCCTGGCCGTAGGTGATCCTAAAGAGTCCGTTACAGACACAACTTTTGACCCAGAAGTCAGATTGTTATGCAAATATGCACTAAAACACCAAAATAAGACCAGGGATTTGTATATATTTCTATTTTAGACTCACCCAATCCCGTTTTCTCCAACTCTGCACAATTAGCAAAATCAAAACCATCTTCTCCCGTCATGATCTTGAGAAAGTCATCCACGCACTTCTTCTCCCGTCTAGACTATCACAACTCCCTCCTCTCTGGCCTCGACTCCAACAGACATCAACACATTACCTGTTTCACTTCCCTTCACTGGCTGCCTGTGTGTTTTAGAATTGATCTGAAGATTTTACTGATCAGTTTTAGAGCTCGTTTAGGTCTTGCACCAAGTTACGTTTCAGAACTTTCAACCCCGTACGAGCCTCCCGCAGTTTTAGATCCTCAGGCAGGTCCCTGTTCGCTGTTCCAGGGTCCAGGCTCCGGACGAAGGCTGATGGAGCCTTTTCAGTCCAGGCACCTCAGCTTTGGAACCAGGAAATGTTTTTTTGTTTGTTTTTTAATCACTTCTTAAAACTCATTTATTTTATTTATTGGTCTTCTTTTAACTGGTTGTAGCTTGATTTTATCCCTTATTTATTTTTATTATACTTATTTTTTTTTATTATTATTATTATTATTTTTTTTTTTTTATATTACATTTATTTTTATTTATTTATTTATATTATACTTATTTTTATTTATTTGTTTATATTATACTTATTTTTTATTTATTTGTTTATATTAAACTTATTTTTATGTATTTGTTTATATTATATTTGTTTATTTATTATAATTAATTGGATTGTTTGCATCATTGTCTGTTTTTGTGTGGTTTCCGTTTGCTATTTTTATGCTTTTAATATTGTTTAATATTATTTAAGGTATTAAGATGTATTTATTAATTTATTATTATTATTATTATTATTATTATTATTATTATTATTATTATTATTATTATTATTATTATTATTATTATATTATTATTATTATTATTATTATTATTATTTACACAGCTAATCAGTAGAAAACAGTAATTTTGGTGTTTAGTGACCCTTTAACCAATAGAATTCGGAATCATTTAAAGCCATAGTATGTAACTTTCTGTAGTCACCTATTTGATTCAGTGGAAATGCAATGGAAAAATTTAAGTTTAAAACCATAGTTTGGAACATTCTCCATGGAGATAGGTAAGTTTAATGCCATACTTTGGAAGATTATAGCCAAAGGATCAATATTTCCATGGAAACAAGCAGCAAGAGTCCCTCCTCCAGACCAGATAAGAGGTTAAGGTTTGTGGAGATGCAAGCACGCTCACAGTAAGGATGCATGTTTTTTTTTATGTTTTTCACTGCAATAAACACAGCAAAAATGTGTCTATATGCATTGTTTATTATGTTTAGAATAGTTTAGATTTCACTGTCCGATAATCAGAAAGTGCACGTTAGTTTGCTAGTTGGTGCTATCTTTACTATCACAGCAAAACTCGACACTTACCTCTGAAAATTGTGAAAAAAAATATGTGTGAATATTTCAGATGTTAGATTGCGTAAGGTAAGCGAGGAATAACTTTGGGTCACTGCAAACTGTTTTAAATGAATGAAGTGTGTTTTTCATGTTTTTAAGAAGAGTAAAAATCCATAAAAATACAGCTCCTTTAAGTTTGGAAAGTGCCTGAATAAGCTGACTGTATTTTTAGCACACTTTGAACATTGTAAAGGGCCTCGGTAATGAACTGTTACTTTCAGGTTTCCTCTTGATAAATAAGGGGGGGGGGGGGAATGCAATTACTTGATAGACCACTAGAGGCCCCTCTTCAGGAACATCCAGTCTCAGTGTTTTGGTCTCGGTGGAATTTGGAGTGATTAAAACCAGCGGAATGAGCTGGGAGGAGAAGGAGGAGAGGTGGAAAAGAGGAGTGAGGGGAAGAGAAGGAGAAGAGGAGAAGTAGAGAAAGAGGAGAGGAGACAAAAGGGAAGGAGAGAGGAGAGGAGGGAGTGAAGAGAGGAGAGGCAAAAGAGAAGAGGAAAGGGGAGAGAGAGAGAGGAGAGGAAAGCAAAAAGGTGGAGAAGAGAAAGGGGGAGTAGATTTGGATAGGAGAGAGGGAGAAGAGGAGGAGAGGAAGAGGTGGAGTAGAGGAGGAGAGGAGGAGCAAGAGGAAAGGGAAGAGAGAAAGAGAGGAGGGGGAGAAGAAGTGGAGAGGAGAGAAGAGGAGGAGAGGAGGGTGAAGAAAGGAGAGGCAAAAAGAAGAGGAACGGGGAGAGAGAGGAGAGAGAAGGTGGAGAAGAGAGGGGGAGGAGAGGTGGAGCAGAGAGAGGGGAGGAGAAGAAGAGGTGGAGTAGAGGAGAGGAGAGGTAGGAGGAGGAGAGGGAAGAGGGGGGTGAAGAGAGGAGAAGAGAGAGAAGGTGGAGAAGTAGAGAAGAGGAGAGGTGGGGATGGAGTAGAGTAGAAGGAAGAGGAGGAGGGGAGGAAAGAGGGAGTAGAGAGAAGGAGGAGATGAGAGGAGAGGACAGGGGAGAGGAGGGTGAAGAGAGGAGAGGAAAAAGAGAGGGAAGAGGGGAGGAGAGGAGAGAGGGGAGGTGGAGAAGAGAGAGGGGGAGGAGTGGGATGAGGAGAAATACAGAAGAGGAGAGGAGATGAGAGGGAGGAGGAGAGAGGGGGAGAAAAGGAAGAGGTGGAGTAGAGGAGAGGTAGGAGAAGGAGAGGAAAGAGGAGGAGGAGAGGGGGGTGAAGAGAGGAGAGGCAAGAGAGAGAGGAGGTGGAGAAGAGAGAGGAGAGGAGATGAGAGGTAGGAGGAGGAGAGGAAAGAGGAGGAGAGGGGGTGAAGAGAGGAGAGGCAAGAGAGAGAGGAGAGCGAGAAGATGGAGAAGAGAGAGGGGGAGGAGCGGGAAGAAGAGAAGTAGAGAAAGAGAAGAGGAGACGAGAGGGAGGAGGAGAGAGGGGGAGAAGAGGAGGAAAGGTAGGAAGAGGAAAGGGAAGAGAGAGAGGAGAGGAGATGAAAGGGAGGAGGAGAGGGGACAGGAGAGGTGGAGTAGAGGAGAGGTAGAAGGAGGAAAGGAAAGGGGGAGTAGAGAAAGGGAGAAGGGGGATAGGATAGGAGGAGAGGGAGTGAAGAAAGGAGAGGCAAAAGAGAAGAGGAGAGAAAAAAGAGAGAAGAGGATAAGGAGACGGTATAGAGAAGGAGGAGGGGAGAGGATGAGGAAAGACAAAAAGAGAAACGAAGAGGAGAGGGATGAGGAGAGATGAGGAGGTGGAGATGAGAAGAGGAGGGAAGAGGGGAAAAGGAGGAGGGGAGGTGAAGTGGAGAGAAGATGAGCGAGGGAGGAGGAGTGACAGAAAAAAAAAAAGAGCAGAGTGTTTGGATGTGATATGTAAACTGTGATTCCCAGAGGTGGTGGGAGCAGACAGAGGGAAGAAAGAGGCAGTTCTCTGGAGTGTGGTTGGACACGGAGAAGCCCGGGCGCTCAGCATCTGATCACAATCTTTACACAGGTTTAAGGCGGACATTTTGAAAACACCGTGAAGTGAAATCGATGTAAAAACACACTCCAACTCCACCTGCTACATACAGGATTATCAGCCTGAAATCACAATAGTCCCGGATTAGTCCCAGTTTAGTCCCGATAAAGACTTGGTTTAGTCCAGCTCTAGTCCGGGTTTTGTCTCGGTCTAGTTCTAGGATATTTTTGCACAAAAGAAACAAAAAAACAAAAAGACTCACACTCGTCTTTTCACGTTTCTCGTTTCTCAATTTGGCAATTTTTTGGATGAAAAATTTTACTTCTTAATTGGAAATCGTGACATCACACAAGGGGAATTCCATTACTGTTACCTAAAAAAATTCCTCTAGTGTATGTTGTTATAATAAAAATTAAAAGAAAAGAAAAAAGAAAAGGTCAGAAAATAATGTTTTTTATTACTGTTATTTTTTACTTCTTGGTCTAAAAAAAAAAAAAAAAAAAAAAAACAAGTACTTCTTAATTGGAAATTGTGACCTCACACTAGGGTAATTCCATTACTGTTTCTGAAAAAAAAATAAATAAATAAAAATTAATAAATAAATACATAAATAAACTCTTCTAATGTATGCTGTAATAATAATAATAATAATAATAATAATAATAATAATAATAATAATAATAATAATAATAACAAAATAATAATAATGTGTTTTTTTTCTTTTTTTCTTTTATTTTACTTTTTGATTTAAAATTTCAAATTGTACTTGATAGGAAATCATGACATCACACTAGGGGAATTCCATAAAAAACAAACAAACAAAAAAAACAAAGAACCAACCAAACAAACAAACAAACAAAACAACTTTCTTATAATAAAAACAATTTGTCAGATAATAATGTTATTATCTAACAAACAGAAATACGAGAAAACACCTTTATTTTATTTGCTATTAATGTTTAAAATATCTATCATTTCTTGTGTAAACTTTGCAAAACATTTGGATAGATCTCTCTTAGTGTTTCTAAACTCTCTACCTTCTGTAACTTTTCTTCGCAAATTGCTTCTAAACTGGTGTAAAATTATAATTTACATTTACAATAGTTTTAATCCCACCACAAAATTAGAGAATCAATAAAAATCAATCACTTAACCTGTTTTAATCTAGTTTGGTCTGGTTTGGTCTGGTTGTTGTGTCTGGTTTGGTCTGCGGACGAGAAGTGAGGAGCAGGGAGAAGAGCGGAGCAGGGAGAGAGGAGAGAGGAGAAGGAGAGGGGAGCGGTGCGTCCGTGCCCGCAGAGTGAGGAGAAGGGGGAAGAGCGGAACGGGCAGCGGGACAGGAGTGGAAAGGGGAGCAGAGAAGGGTTGCCGGAGATTCAGTGGAATGAACTAGCTACAACACGCAGCAAGCAAAGCGGACTTTTTTTGCCTTGTTACTTTCAGACATAGTATCGCTTTCGTGTCCTGAAAACGTTTGACTAGCTCTTGGAATAAAGTACGTTTTCATAATAAGCAGAAGTTACCTGTCCAGTAATTTGGCGACCAATGCGTCAGTCTTTAGACCCTGCGTCTGCTTCATCGCGCCATGCTGGAATGAATCTACAGAATCACCTTGTTTGGCTTCGCTGCTTTTTCCCTTGTTTCTTCTTTCAGCGACCTCAAAAAACGGACTTTCTTTTGGGCTAACTGCTCCTGGATCTTTGTCGCCATTGCAACAAACTTTGTGCTATGCGAGAAGATATAGTCAAAAAAAGCGCTAAGAACTGTTGCTTGGTGGAGTAAACAGCGTCTGTGCGTCTTGCGTCTGTGGATGCGTGACGGCGTA